TCGTCAATATGCGTTTTTCGCATTGCATTGCTGCAAAAAATGCATAAAAATGGCTGTTAAGTGGAAATGTTACATTTCCCTTTATGCAAAACGTTTAGCCTGGCGTTTGAGCGTGCGAAACCCCATGATACCGTCCTATTTTCTTACCTGGGCTTCCCGAAGTCGCCATTCCTCATGGCGATGCAAATTTCTTGTCAAGATTGTGCAAATAAACATCATTCTTAGCTGTCACTTTTTGCCCATTAGTTGTTGCAAATGATTAATACCTGCGGCGCAGGAGAAGGAAACTGTCTTAGCAAAGGACTTCCCATCCAAGACTTTTGTGTCTAATTTACTAGTGAAATTAATTCGACTTTTATCAAATTACTAGTGAAATTCCAGTTTGCTGGCGAAATCAGTTCGCATTTAGTGAAGCAAATAGAAATTTTGAACATCGGAATTTGCAGCGTGTTAAAAAAACTGACAGTTTTATTTTGTAAAAGTAAAGGACGACTCCATCAGCAGAAGCAGTGGCAGCGCCGCCGCTGATGCAATATAATTTGAATGAAAGGCTCAAGCAAATGCCTTTATAAACCGTTATCTGTGGGAAGCTGAGACAGATGGAAATAGTTCAGCCGCTGGTGCGCCAAAAGCACTCACCCATGGGCAAGGCTGTCGATGGCTCTCTTCTTCGTAAACTGCACAGAATCAGGGCTGAAGGTAGGTTTCTTTCCACGACACGTGCCAGTACCAATCTACCATCGAAACTAAAGAATGAGTGGTGTCCTACTGACGGCGCTGAACTCTCAACTTTTATCAAGAGAGTAATGCTACTTGTCACCACACTACGCTGGTCGAAGAAATATAAGGGCACTAGAAGTAATACTATCAAATAATTAAATCAAAATTCTGACCGTAATAAATTTAGAAAACATTACAAAATACACTACGGCTAATAGATTTTCAACAAAACTGCGATTTAAATCACAAAAATACGCACGCACACATCCAAATAAGTACATCATTCATTTATCATTGAGCTCAGAAGTAATTAAAAATTAAAGCTAGAGAGGTCAATATTGTCCACGCAGTTTGCGCCACCAAAGACGCCATGCAAGAAGGTCGAATCCTCTCTGAAGTCGCGAGTCCCATAAATCGTAACCATTCTTGCGGAGAGTAAGCAAAAGATGATCCAATGTAGCGCCACTTGCCATCAAAGCCAAATGCAGATTCGGATCAATGCATCCACGGTAGCTACGGCTTTCTACAAGATTTTTCTCGGCTATCTGAAAAATAAATTTATGATGTGTGCTATGCCTGAAAGCGCACTGGGAAATTTAAGAATGAAAATATGAATGATTCCTTAGTTTATCAAAATCAAAAAGTTTTTATTTTTTTCAAATAATAATTCATGCGCACAGAGCCATTACGTTGGTTCCACATATCAACGTAATTAAAACTGCTGGAAATTCCGGAGATCAGGTCAGTGAACTTTTATACAAAAGGCGTATAAAAGACCCAAAAATTCTGAAGCTTTTAAGCTTTTTGCGGCAGTATCATATGCGAAAATTAGCAGAAATGTGGACCGATCAGTGCGCTGTTCTGATAACCAACCCGATAATCATTACGAAAAATTTGGTAAACTAACATCGGCAAATTCCGTGATCAAAGCGCGCAATGAATCGCACTTCCTTTTCGCATAGATATCTTCGGCGCTTAGCTGATATCTTTCTGTTGCATCAGCTGGCAGCAGAAAAATGCCTCTCGCCAATAATGGCACAACCGACCTATTAATATT